TAGATGACCACCTCCGCCTGAAACTGAAGATTCACCCACAATACTTCTCTTTGTATACATTTTAATGCCCTTTTCTTCAGCCCACGAAATTTAAGGTTTACGTCTCTTTGTATTAACCCCTTATTTCCATTTTCCAAGATGAAACAGTTGTAGTTAGAGGTACCCACACCTTACTGCTTTGCGTAATTCCAATAGAGCCAACAAAGTTTGACAAATACATAAATAACTCCTATGAGCAATTCTACTCAACATCCACTTTCTTGGGGACATGTGTACATTAAAGGTAAATGATTCTATTCAATGTCTATTTCTCTGGCCTTAGCTGCCTTTTTGTTTTTCAGTTTAAAATAAGTCTAAGCACTACAACCACTACAGCTCATTGCGATATTATGGGGCGATGAGTCTATGGTTGCCATCTCACAGTATTTCTTTTTAATCATTATGGGTACCGAGGAGATCCCTCCTTTTTGTCAAACCAATCCAAATTGGTCTGTCAAAAATAAAATCAGACAGTGTCCATAGCCTGTTTACACCATAACCACTACACTAAGGTGCAGTGGTTATGGTGTTTAAGTTGTCCCATTAAAATAAATCTAAAATGATTTTTGTCAACAATGGAATCTACCTCAAGAATGTGTATTGCAAACGTTCTGGCTTTTTTAGACTTTGCAATAAATATATTTAGGAAAAGTTTTAACAAGAGAAAACCTCAAATGAAAGACAAATAGAGGTCATTTAGGGTGGGAATCTCTATAACGCTGTATAAAATTTGGCATTAGGTGCCTCTGAGATCGATTTATTTTCTTTCTCCTTTCTATTTCACACTTTGCCTGGATACATTCCAGACATTGTACGTTGTTTGTTTTTCATACATTAGGTGCAACATGTGTATTAATAAGACTGGCCACTCTCTGCATGCATTGTTTCCAAATTCCAAAAGAATTAAAAGCCTAAAAAAATTGATTATGGTCAGTTTCCTCTATATAGTTTTCCTCCTATACATTTGACTTTTTGATATGGGAAATTAAATTCCTCTATATTATAAATAACATGAAAAACAGAGTTTCTATGAAATTGTTATGGTTATATTATTTATGTTTGAATTAAACAAGTTTTTACCCTAGTACTTTTTTGTATGTGTGCTGAACCTGAGAATTCCAGTTTGGCTAGTTTGGTCTAATCATAGCGATTTCCTTGGCTGTTCTCTAAAATTCCTTGTTTGTCAAACAAACTCCCATGGAATCTGAGAGATGACAACCCTGTGTTCAGTTAGCCATCACATTACAAGCAATACTATCTCTAAATCTGCCATTTGTTTGTATAGCAGGATGAATGTCCCCTGCAGCCTTCACATTGGTCATGTTAGATATATAACCTGAAAGATTGCAACTTCAATCTACAAAATAAATAATCTTTAAATTAATGACTATATCAAAATGTGGCTTTTTAATATTGTTGGATTTATTCACTAAGCATCAAACTGTGGTAAAATAATACCACCTTGCAAAATTCGGGCTAAATTAGTGGTGATTGCATTGTGAGGTGCTTGTTTTGGTTTTTGGTTCACACACATCACACTGTTACCATGAGTGCACCCAGCTTCACTCATATTCTTCACAATGTTTAACATCACTCCTTAAGTGATGTCAAACATTGTTCCTGAACCTTTTATGGAGACGTGCCCCTGGAGGTCTAAAAAAACCCCATCAGAATTCATAGGGCCCCTTACAAATCCATTGCTCAGGCCCCCTAACACACAGTCCCAGACACACAAGAGTACCCACACAGACATCCATTTTCAGATACACTTGCGTACACACACAGATACACAATGCTGCAGCGCCCTACCAGATAGACACTCCCATACACAGACACACATTGCCACATACTCAGACAAACACACACTCAGGTACACAGCCCTCATGCACTCTGATACACACAGCAACAGACACTCAGGTACACTCAACCATACAAAAGACAGACAATCAGATGCCTACAACCACACAAACAAACATGCACTCAGATACACACAGCTGCACAACACTCAGATACACATAGCCATGCAAACACACACACACGATACACAATGCACTCAGATACACTCAGCCTCATACACACACCGACACACACTAAAATGCATGCTACCACACAAACACACACTTATCCTCGATGGTCCTTCTGCTTGTGTCCTTGTCTGTACTACGAATTGGAGCACCTATCATGCACAGCCCCCGTGCACAGATTCACAGTCCTGGTAGTCCCTAACCTTATCATCTCAGACTGTGTATTTCTGCAAGGGTGAGCACAAATCTCTGCCTACTGGACTACCAACTAAGGTAAGACACTGACATACACATACACACACATACCAATCGGAAATGCTTTATTGTTAGGTAGGTGAGACCTTTAAATCTCCCGAACCAGACTGCATATGTGGGCACCAATGGTTGACCAGTGCCCTTAACGGGGTATTGGCAGAACTCCCTGATGGTGACCTAGGGCAGAACATGTGTGAGACAAAACATTAGACTGGTTTTCAAAATGGATTGAACAGTCCCTCATTTCTCTTTTTTTGGCTTGGTCTAGCCCAGCGATGTATTTATGAATAGACCGAATAGGCCCGGTCTTAGAGTGACAGATCAAAGACGGTGGAAAATCTCAGTATTTTTATTTTCTTCAAATAAGTTCTTATAAGATGGCTGCTGTTTAAGGCAGCCATCTTTTTCGTTACACACAGCGCCACCCTGTTGCGTGCCACCCTCACTGATTCCCCTTTACCTCTATTAGTGACCTATGAACCCTTCACACCCCTTCTCCTCACCCACAATGACAAAAAAATAACAAGCAACAAAAAAAGAGGGGGCTGTCATTACTGAAAGCATTTATGTTTGTATGAGAGTGTATTTGATTATATCAGTGTGATTGTAGCAAGCTTTGTAAGAACGCATCTATGTCATGGCTAGGTGTGTGTGTGTATGTGTGTGTGTGTGTGTAAGTGAGTATGTGATGTGTGAAGCAAAGGCTGGACTTAGAACAGTCAGAATCCCACATTTTCCAATGTATTTTTCAAAATATATAAATGCTTACATTATGGGGTGCTGCTAATTTTTATAATAAGGCATCACTAATTTGCATTTCTTTGTAGTCGGTCCTGGTTTTCTTATACATATTTTGGTACATTGGTGCCCCTTACCACTGGGGAACAGCAATCAACTTAAGAACTTAAGAAAAATATTAATTATATCTGGGAACTTGGCCGTTTCTCTGAATTATACATTTACTATCAGAATTTTTACTTAACAACCATACAGAATAGGCTTTGGAATGATATGGAAACTATAGGCACCTAGACCACTTCATCTAATTGAAGTGGTCTGGGTGCACTGTCCCTGTCCTCCTTAGTCAACGTAAAAAAATGTTTTAGATTGTTTACACTGCAGTACTAAGATAGCCTCTAGTGACTGTGTAAAAGACAGCCACTAGAGGCGCTTCTGGGATTTTAAAGATTTTTTTGAAACCCTTTATGTGCTATGGGGGGGAGGCATGAGGAAGGGGGGGGGGGATTCTTCTATAGATTCCCAACACTATAGAATCCCTTTAAGCATTAAACAACCCCTTTGACAAATATTTATTTATTCTGTCTTCCTTGAAAGGCTACCCTCTTCTAAATGGTTCCAGCCTGTTAAAAGGAAATTCAGCCACGGTTTACACCCTCAACTCAATACATGTCACTCATGCATCTAGTAGACGTGTCTTACCAACACGGTAGAAAATGAAAAGGAAAGCAAACAAACTATATACATTAACAACGCAGAGGGTGATAAAATATATAAAACAGGCTCTCGTGCTGGAAATACAACGGAGAGAAAAAGGTAGTTTTGCTCCTGCCCCAGGAGGGGTGTGCAGATTGATCGAATGCAGGTTAGTGTGGAGCCGGAGTGAGCTTCATTCCCTGTTGCTGGCTTACAATTATTGGAAAACCACTCATGCTGCTGCAGTGAAATTAGTTATTGATCCCTTTGTCAGGGTGATGAGCTTGTGCTCCTGCATGTTGCAGAAACAGCCCTTTTCGCTCTCTGGCTCCCTCGCATCTCCTGACAGCCTTAACTCATACCGTACACCCCCTTAATGGCAGGGAATTTGGATGTGTCCATGAAGCTGAGTTCATATTAACCTCTTTACCGTTGTCCATTTTTTCCCTGACAGTCCTTGTTTGCGTTGATGAGAATTTCCTTTGTTTCTCGCAGGCTTTGCCTTTTCTTTGTCTTGGCTGCAATAACAGTTTCTGCAAAACAGTTTGGGTGGCACTTGGCTCTGGTCAAAAATATTAGGTATCTTCTGAATGAGCTCTTTGGTTAACATTATGTTCTACACTGACCATTTTGTGACTCTCCATTCTTGACCAGTCTTGCCTAGTCTATAAAAGCAAACGCCAAGCCATCCAGAAATCAAGAAGCTTGCTTTCCGAATGCCCCAGGTTTGCTACACTGTCCAGGGTGCCCCATCTAAAGTACAATGTTGCTGTAAAAAAGAATAACATAAATATAAGGTAATTTAGAATCTCTCCCTGACAAAGTCTTAATTCCAAGGATTGCATTGTTGGCTCATGAGCTAGTGTCATGATACTCTGCACCACACATCTGCTCCTGGGCGCCCACAGCATCCTAGAGCTGGTCCTTGGGTGACTACAGTGCTGAAGGTTTCCCAGGTCTGGTCCGCTGTTCCCCTGTCTTCCCCAACAGCGCAAGGGTCCTCGGTGAATACAGTGTCATGGCAATATGGCGGCCACCATGCGGGCTTCGCACTGGTAAGTGTAGAGCAGATGGAGACTGTAGGCAGGGTGGAAGAGGCAGGCATCTTTGTAAACAAAGATGGTGCTGAGTATTTGAACTGCTTATTTAAATCCAGAGCGTGCCACTTACAGGTGGGAGGTGGCTGATCATGTGATTCTGTCAGCCTATTTAATCCCAGAAAGCCTCATAATCAGTGTTCTAAACTCACTATTCCTGGTTCCTAATGCCTTGTGATTTTCCTGACTTGTCTCTCTTCTGATTTATTTCTGACTCAAACATCCCTCCTGACCACTCTTTCTCGCTGCCTGCCCTGACCTTTGGGCAGCCTGACTCCTCCCTCTTGGATACGGTTGCCTGGCACCCTTTTATCTTATTAAATGCCCCTGTGCCACCACTGACCTATCAGGGCCCTGTTCTAACCTTGAGATGCCCATGAGAGTCATGATTGTAAGGGAGTGCTGTTCTGCTGCAACTGTTCCTTTTTAGATCGGTGGGTTGTCACAGCTAGTGACCAAATAATATTGCTAAGTTTGGAATTTTTGAAAATTAGGTTGTTAAAATTATTTAGGGTTATTCGGAGGCAAAATGTTGGAGGTATGTCAATAAATCCTGTGAAATTTTCAGACCCACATCTTATCAGATCAAAATGATTCCAGAATCATTATTCAGAGAAATTCATAAATGCTTCATCTCAGTGGGTTGACCATTCATTATGGTCCTTCTAATTCCCTCACTCTGTGAGCGACAGTTGTTGTGCTCTACATGTCCCCTGATGCTTTGCCAGCATTATGGATGTAAGAGCATTATGGGGGATGTAGTCCAAAACATCTGGACTGCTATAGGTTGCCTATCCCTGCTAAGTTGTGAGGTGAGGATAAAGTCCTTACATACAAGTATGTGTTTCAACTGATAACCTTGAAAGGTCAAAATGCCATGCCCTAACCCTTTGACACACCTGTTTTGATACAGTCATGATCTAATTTTATCTCATAGTTACATAGTTACATAGCTGAAAAGAGACTTGCGTCCATCAAGTTCAGCCTTCCTCACATTTGTTTTTTGCTGTTGATCCAAAAGAAGGCAAAAAAAAACAGTTTGAAGCACAATTTTGCAACAAGCTAGGAAAAAAATTCCTTCTTGACCCCAGAATGGCAGTCAGATTTATCCTTGGATCAAGCAGTTATTACCCTACATTGAAAGATTATATCCTTGAATATTCTGTTTTTGCAAGTATGCATCTAGTAGCTGTTTGAACATCTGTGTGGACTCTGATAAAACGACTTCTTCAAGCAGAGAATTCAACATCCTGATTGTTCTTCCGGTAAAAAAACATTTCCTTTGCCTTAGACGAAATCTTCTTTCTTCCAGTCTAAACGCATGGCCTCATGTCCTATGTAAAGTCCGGTTTGTGAATAGATTTCAACACAATGGTTTGTATTGGCCCCAAATATATTTGTATAATGTTATCATATCCCCTCTCAGGCAATGTTTTTCTAAACTAAATAGGTTTAAATGTGTTAACCTTTCTTCATAGCTGATATGTTCCATTCCTTTTATTAATTTTGTAGCCTGCCTCTGCACTTTTTCTAGTGCCATAATATCCTTCTTTAGAACAGGTGCCCAAAATTGCACAGCATATTCAATATGTGGTCTTACCAGGGATTTATAAAGAGGCAGGTTATATATAACAAAGGGCTTGCACCTTCCAAAGGCAGTCAATGATGTTATCATACATCTTAGATTATAATAAGCTGAGTATATAAGTATACAACAACGGATTGCACCATCTGAAGCCATTAAGTTATGGTATAATGCATCTTATATCATAAAAGCTGAAAAAATATACACAGCAAATCAGTGTTTAGCTTGGACTGAAATGTCAGTGATGTCATAATGCATCTACATCATAATACACTGAGGTATTATAACACAGGGCTTTCACCCTCTCTGAGTCTGGTCAGTGCCAGTGATGTCATCATACATCATAATAAATTGAGGATATAAAAAACCGGGCTTGTATCCCTGGAAGCCAGTCAGTGATGTCATAATCTACCTCATGTCATAATAAGCTGAGGGTACATAACGCAGTGCTTACACCCTCTGAAGTTAGAAACATAGAAACATAGAATGTGACGGCAGATAAGAACCATTCGGCCCATCTAGTCTGCCCAATTTTCTAAAAACTTTCATTAGTCCCTGGTCTTATCTTATAGTTAGGATAGCCTTATTGTGTGATAGATAGGATGTTTTGGGATACTGCTAGTATACCTATAATAGAGAACAAAACATAGTGCAAATATTGCTAAATGTTATAAAACTTCCAATGATAGAAATGCACTCACATATTCCAAAAAAGATAAGCGTATTATGGGTGCCTCCCCTCGATGGAAATAGGGGGGTTGACTCCTATTAATTTCTCCTCCTCAAGTGATAGCCAATGGAGTATCCAAGTCAGCCAAAACGATCCACAAACAGCAACCACAGGAATACTTCAAGGCAATTTATTCACTTACAAAATTAAGAAGGTGTACAGATAAAACATAAAAACAATATAAAAGTAAGATATTGGTCCAATGGACCAATATCTTACTTTTATATTGTTTTTATGTTTTATCTGTACACCTTCTTAATTTTGTAAGTGAATAAATTGCCTTGAAGTATTCCTGTGGTTGCTGTTTGTGGATCGTTTTGGCTGACTTGGATACTCCATTGGCTATCACTTGAGGAGGAGAAATTAATAGGAGTCAACCCCCCTATTTCCATCGAGGGGAGGCACCCACAATACGCTTATCTTTTTTGGAATATGTGAGTGCATTTCTATCATTGGAAGTTTTATAACATTTAGCAATATTTGCACTATGTTTTTGTTCTCTATTATAGGTATACTAGCAGTATCCCAAAACATCCTATCTATCACACAGTTCTGCTATATGGTTATCAGCTGGGAGATAACCTTGGGAAGCAGTGTACCTATCAGCTAAGTTTTCATTTTGTTGTTTTTTGTGTGTTTTTCACACTTTGTTCACGGGTGTCCGTGTTTTCTATTTGCTGTGTTCCCAGGATAGCCTTATGCCTATCCCACGCATGCTTAAACTCTTTCACTGTGTTAACCTCTACTACTTCAGCTGGAAAGTTAATCATTGTCAGTGACGTCATTACGCACTTACATCATAGTACGCTGAGGGTATATAACAATTGTCCTATTTATAGTTAAATCCCCTTTCATAATATTGTAAAGCGCTACGGAATCTGTTGGCGCTATATAAATGGCAATAATAATAATAATAATAATTGCTGTCTGAAGCCAGTCAGTGATGTCACATTGCATCTTACATCATAATAAACTGAGGTAATACAACACAGGGCTTTCACCTCTGAAGTCAGCCTGTGTCAGTGATGTCATTATGCATCTTACATCATGATAAGCTAAGGGTATAAAAATAGGGGCTGTGCCCTCTGAAGCCAATTAGTATTTAGCTAGGACAAGAGTATACAAATGTACTAATCAGATCTCCTATTTATCATCAAAACAATCTGAAACCTTCTGTAAAATAATGGATAATGCTGATATGTAATTGTCTTTGAGTTCTTAGCGTACACAATCTATATGACTGTAAGTGTGTGTTTTATCTGTGTGAGGTTTTTGGTGCCTTGGTGGGGAAAAGGGTGGCTCTGACTACATTCTACTTAATAGACTCTGCAGAGGTTGGTTCTAGTTGAAGACGATGGTTGATAGTCATGTATGGAAGCCTTAGGAAATATTAAATGGAGAATATTCATCAAAATATATTCAAAATAAATCCAAGGACAAATCTATTGTTAATTATTTTTCAGGGGCCAAGAAGGCATTTTTTTCACTTGAAACATCCACGTTGATATGTCCAATTTTTCCACCTTCCTCTGGATCAATTAAGAAGATTTTTTTCTTTTCTTTTTTATTTTTTTTCACTTTATTATAAATAATAATGTAGTAATTTTGCTATTCTGTTGTATTGTTTGTTCACTCCCAAGCATCTCCACGTTTATCCCTCACATTATATTAACAAGCAGCTAGGTTGTATGACCTGGCACAATCTTGTGGATACTGAGGACAAGGCAGCGTTAAATCTGAGTTAACAATTTCCCTATAATTTTAAAATGATACTAATTACAGTAAAGAGATTACAGAAAATATGCTGCACCATATTTAGATTTTTTTTAGGCACTCAAAGCAAAAAGTTTCTATTATTGATTATTCACAAGCTAAATAACTCTATAATTATACTAAAAACTAATTATAATTACATAGGTTGAGGGCCCTAGATCAGGGGTAGGCAACCTCCGGCACTCCATATGCTGTGGACTACATCTCCCATAATGCTATTACCGCCATAATGCTGGCAAAGCATCAGGGGAGATGTAGTCCAGAACATCTGGGCCATTATTATTAATAGGCAGGGTAGTCAGCTGCCTAGAGGCACCTGTCTGCTGGAGGTGTCTACCTTATTTGAGTGGAAATTGTATTGAAATGGGTTTTGGGTGGGAGGTAGATGATACCAGACAATACTCAGGCACCTGAGATCTAAACCTGGCCCCAAATTAGCCACCACTGACCTAGAAGTTCCAAGGATGTGTCCAATCAACTGATCGCTGAGCTACACCGCCATAACTCTGGGCTTTAGGTGGGACGTGTGGTGTCAGCTTTTTTATCTAGCTAGGGGTTCATCCTGGAACCATGGATGGGTAAGTCCAGGGTTAACATTTTGGTGTGAGACAATGTCCAGCTTTCAATCTCCTTGATTCTATACACTAACTCGATGATGCCTTTCCTCCCCCTGTTGCTCCTCTCAAAAGAGAAATCTATTTCGCCAATGTTTTCATTTAAGAGTTAATTTAATTCTATGGAACAACAAATGGTTTATTATAAGTCAAAAGGACAAAAATAAATTACAGCATTTCGGCTGTGAGGCCTTAATCGTGCAAGGCTTTTATTTCTGATTTCCTGGTGGGTGACGGACCAACAGGCCCGGACTGGCCATCGGGCACACCGGGCAAATGCCCGGTGGGCCGCGGTGGCCGTGGGGCCGAGGCCGGCAGGGGAGGTCCCAGGATCTCCCCTGCCGGTCTATGCAGGGCCGGCGCTATCCGAGCGCCGGCCCCGCTGTCTTCCATGGAGGGCCGGTGGGGAGATCAAAGATCTCCCCCACCGGCCCATTTAAATAGACCTGCGGCTGGGGAGGGAGGGAGAGGACCCGGCGGAGCTCTGTCTTGCAGCTCCGCCGGGTTTCTCTCGCGAGATCCGGAGCGTTGCCATGGCAACGCCCCGATCTCGCGAGAGAGTTCACTCACCACTGGACCACCAGGGATGGTGTGCGAGTGCCGGTGCCCCCCCTCCCAGCTACCACGTGCCTGTCCCCCCCTCCCAGGCTAAAGGTAAGAAGGGAGGGGGGGGGTTTAGTTTTTTTTTTGCTTAGTTTTTATTTTATTTTTTTATATATTTACCCCCACTTAATTTTTTATTTGTTTATTTACCCCCCAACACACAACATTTATACACAGCACTATCACACTCAGCATTCTCAGCACTCACACAACACTCTCACACACATCACACCCAGCACTCTCACACTCAGCACTCTCACACTCAGCACTCTCACACACATCACACGCAGCACTTTCACACACATCATAGCACTTTCACACTCAGCACTCTCACACACATCACAGCACTCTCACACACAGCACTTTCACACTCAGCACTCTCACACACAGCACTATCACACCCAGCACTCACAACACACAGCACTCTCACACACAGCGCAGCACTCTCACACATCATAGCACTCTCACACACATCACACGCAGCACTCTCACACACATCATAGCACTCTCACACACAGCACTTTCACACTCAGCACTCTCACACACATCACACGCAGCACTCTCACACACATCACACCCTGCACTCTCACACACAACACTCTCACACACAGCACTCTCACACACAGCGCAGCACTCTCACACATCATAGCACTCTCACACACATCACTCTCACACACATCATAGCACTCTCACACACAGCACTCTCACACACATCATACACAGCAATCTCACACATCGCAGCACTCTCACACACATCATAGCACTCTCACACACATCATAGCACTCTCACACACATCATAGCACTCTCACACACAGCTCTCTCACACACATCATACACAGCAATCTCACACATCGCAGCACTCTCACACACATCATAGCACTTTCACACTCAGCACTCTCACACACATCACACAACACTCTCACACTCAGCACTCAGGCACATCACTCTCACACACATCACACTCAGCACTCACACACATCATACACAGCACTATCACACTCAGCACTCACACACACTAAAACAGACCTTATTACACAATACCACACCATGACCAGCTCACTCTGCACAAACGTAATACCACAAACAGGCTCCAAACACATGCACAATACTCTTTCCTGGCCCTTTTGTCTCCTGGTATCTATTTATAGAGACACCAGAGACAAGTTGCAAGGAAACAGTGCAAGCATGTTATTAAATTTGCTTGCACTGTGCAGAACAAATACAGGGCTTTTTTCTCATGCTAGAGTTCTTCAGCAGAGCTCTGCGCATGGTCTGCCCTGGAAGAGCATTGAACCAACATGCTCACTTTGAGAGGGAGCGTGTTTGTCATGAGTGATGACAAAACACACCCTCTCTGCCCCGCCCCCTTCTTAGTGGGCCGCTGTGATAAAAAAATGCCCGGGCCGAATTTTTTTCCCAGTCCGGCCCTGCGGACCAACCTTCCACAGAGCTCTAACATACACGTTGCTTGTGTGCAGCACTACTTCTATTTTGTGAATTAATTCTATGGAATATATATATTTAGTATATTACTGTAGCCACTGCTTTCAGTTTATTGGTAGTGGATAGGGATAGGTTGTGATGGTGTGATGTATTATGACATAACCTAGAACAAGCCTTTCCCATCAGAATCTTTAAAGGAGCACTCAATACCTAAATCTCTTCAGCTTGGCTTTACTTATGAACAGTGTGTCCTTTTTTTTTTTTCATTTTACAAAAAAGTGCAGATATTAATAGAAATGAGCTCATTTATAAATTAACCTTTTAATTTATAAAAATTAATTTATAAAAAATGTAATTTATAAAAATACTGTGGAACTCGCTTCCCTCCTCCGTTAGATGCTCACCCAGTCTCCACTCCTTCAAAAAATCGTTAAAAACCCACTTCTTCATAAAAGCGTATCAATTAAACTGTTAATAGCGCCTGACTGAATCCTCTTTTGCAACTGTCACTAGTCTAATACTATCCTTACCTTTTGTGTCATTTTACCCCACGCCCTCTACCATGTAAGCTCATTGAGCCGGGCCCTCAACCCCTCTGTTCCTGTGTGTCCAACTTGTCTGGTTACAACTACATGTCTGTTCGTCCACCCATTGTAAAGCTGCTGCGGAATTTGATGGCGCTATATAAATAACATAATAATAATAATAATAATAATAATAATAACAACCTTGTTACATCCTCCTGGCTGTCAGTCAGACATCAGTTCCTGTTACTTCCTGGTTTGCTTAGCTCAGTGAAGCAGCAGGCAATTGCCCAGAGCACCTGCAGCTTCTCATTGAGCTGCATTGGGAAGACTGTAATTGGACAGCCACAGAAAGTCTTAAGTTAGAAGGGGAGGGCTAGCAAAGGCTTAAACAAAAGATCTGCAGATTTTTATTTGTATCTGCAGATTAATATTGATGGGTAGTGGAGTATCCCTTTAACCCCTTAAGGACCAAACTTCTGGAATAAAAGGGAATCATGACATGTCACACATGTCATGTGTCCTTAAGGGGTTAAGGCTTACAACAGTCCAGAATCAAGGCATTTTGCAATTATTTTCTGATGGGAATACTGAGAAAATCTGGAAAATTGGAGTTTATTGAGGACTGTGTTGGAAACCACTTGCTTATGCAATGGAAGGCCAGGGTGTGTATAATGTAGTGCCAAGTCTGATTACAAAGAAAAGGAGGTAATTAAGGCAGGGATTCATAAATAGCTTGCATAATGTATTGCAGAGACCCCTGTGTTCTTGCCTCTCCCAAACTTGCATTAGGGTTGTGATTTGTGAAAAGTAATGGAACTGATTTCAATTAGTGCGTATTTTCACCCGATGCGCCATATTCTTATGTATAAATATCCTACCATAAGCTTTATGCATCGCCTTCCTTTTGGAAAGCACAAAGACTGTCTGCCACTCCGCCACTTTTAGCAGAAAATATCTGATGGGAAAAGAGGTGCAGTGATGTGCCCTTTGTTAATACGTAGCAAATGTCACAATTTTGGGCCTCAATTTAATATTTTTGGATCAGCTTTTTAAATTATTTAAAATTTTTAGAAACACGTTTAAAATTAGTTTTTCAATATATTAAAATATTTTTAAAAAATAATATATGAATATATATAAATAATATATATAATATTAATATATTAAACTATTTAAAAAAATAATATATGAATATATATAAATAATATATATAATATCAATATATTAAAATATTAGATCATTTTAAAAGTTTATGTACAAATATTATAAATTAAGGCCATGATCAGAAAAATAGATCCGAAAAGTGACGCGATAAAAAGTAGATAGACTCATTAAGTAGAAAATTAATATCTCTCCTTAATCGCTATGTATATTTAGAAAAATGGAGGTCATTTAGTTACTCCAATGGCCATTGGAGGGAATGCCCGCCTGCCAACGTCAAGGCAGACCCCCCCTAAGCGGGTCCTACGCTGACCCTTCACCTTGCTTCTTTGAGCTTCTGGCAAAAATCTCTAATGAGACAAAAAGGGGTATTTTTTTATATACACCCCTATATATTTATTAACCCTTAATAGGGAACACATGGGATGGGTGGCAGCATTGCAACAAGGCTGAGTGAGACAAAAAATGGATACAAATGCAGAAAGTTAAGTCCTGCGCTAACTCTCATCACTACTGGGCGGCAGCAATGACTACAGTACACATCAGCCCCAATATATAGTAATAACCAAAGAAATACAAGTTACCTGCGCAGGTGTCTGGATACATACCCAAACTTTGGAAGACTGCGAGAGTAGTGCCTATCCATAAAAGTGGTGACACTACTTTGGTTTCTAACTATCGCCCAATATCATTGCTCCCGGCATTGTCAAAAATCTTAGAAAAATGTGTCCATACGCAACTCTGTGAGTACTACCAACAATCAAACTATCTGACCCCTGATCAATCGGGCTTTCGCCAGAATCACTCCACTACAACTGCCCTCTTAAAAGTTTGCAATGACATCCAAACTGGCATGGAACAAGGAGACCTAACTGGAGCTATTTTCCTTGATTTTGCTAAGGCCTTTGACACAGTAGACCACGACATTCTACTGCACAAACTCAAAAACTCAGGTATTGGTGATCGTTCGCTAACCTGCTTTCGATCATATGTATCGGATCGCTCGCAATATGTGTCCATTCCTGACAGCGACTCCCTCCCTCTCCCAGTCATGTGTGGTGTTCCCCAAGGTTCCATTCTCGGCCCCCTACTATTTACATTATTTATAAATAACCTGCCTAATGTCTGCAAATCCTCAAATGTACACATGTACACAGATGACACAGTAATCTATGCGAGCAAATCCAATCTACTGCAGATTGAGGCTGTGCTCCAAGACCAGTTTACAGAGGTAGAAAAGTGGATCGCAAAAAACAAACTCTTCCTGAACACTGACAAAACTGTCACAATGATCTTTGGAACAGTACCTAAATTACACAAATTACACAATTCCCACCTATCCATCAAAACTAATTTGAATGGCACACTGACCGCAGTCCACTCTTTCAAATACTTGGGTATGGTATTAGACCCCAATCTATCTTTTGGCCTCCACATAGAAAAACTTGCATCTAAACTTTATCCAAAACTAGGTGCCCTGTACAGAAACAAATCCTGCCTAATCCCTACAGTAAAGGAAAAGATTGTGCTGCAAATGCTGATGTCAATCATTGATTATGGGGATGTAGTATATGCACCTGCACTGCTATCCCACATTAATAAACTCAATACATTGTATAACTCGTTCTGCCGATTTGTGCTACAATGTAATTACAGGACCCACCATTGTGACATGCTAAAAGAACTAAACTGGCTGTCGCTGGAATCCAGATGCACCCTTCATCTTTCCAGCCTTGTGTTTAAGAGCTTTTCTGGGAACCTCCCACCCTACCTGAACAAAATGCTTTCTCCAGCTGTTCCCACTTCATATAACCTCCGATCCAGTACCAGCACTTTATTTAGCCTACCTCAATACAAAAAGAAAGCAGCCTGATCCTCCTCTTACATAGCGCCGCAATTGTGGAACGACCTCCCGCACAATTTAAAATCTTCCCTAAGCCTAAAGTCCTTTAAGAGATACCTCTCTACATACCTGAAAACAGAATGCACCTGTCATGGTTGATTATATATTTCCTACCTGCTCTGTGTTACATTTTGTATTTATTGTGTATTAATATTGGTTTTGTATTTTATTGTACCCTAATGTAACAATGCAATGATTTGTGGACCCAGGACTTACTTGAAAACAAGAGAAATCTCAATGTATCTTTCCTGGTAAAATATTTTATAAATAAATAAATAAATAAATTGCAAAATGAAGGTCAAAAAACTAAATCTGGAACAATTCTCCCTCTAAGCTATTTGCCCAACTCGGCTAATTTAGCCTATTTTTTTTCTCAACACTCAATAGTTCAAATATTAAATCCGAAAGTGTATTTTTTTTTTAATTATCTGTTCTAAACATATTTAAACCTTAACATAGTGTCTCCAGGTGAAATAGGGACGTGAGAGGAATA